AGATTGGAACATAAATGTTGTTCAGTCATTCAAGCCCAAAAGCTGTGATTGCGAAACGACCTGAAAGTCGTGATCACTTGGTATATTGTGGCCAAAAATGAATGCATAAATAATCGGAGGAGATAGAGCAAATAGGATACTGGGAATTATTTCTAGAAACGTTAGTTATAGAGCATCTAAACAGGGTAAGATATAAGGCACTGAAAGGCATATATATATATATATATATATATATATATATATATATATATATCTATATATATATATATATATATATATATATTATATATATATATATATATATATGCTAGGGTTGTATCGAGGGGTCCCCTCAGGTCGAACTACTGACCTTTTCCAGGATGCAACTCAACAACAGTTGACCAATTCCCGGGTATCTCTTTGGACACAGGTAGGGACACAGGTTGGGACACAGGTAGGAAAATATAGCTGGTGACACAGATGGGGACACAGAGGTGAGGACACATGTGATGACACCAGTGAAGTCACCAACGAGAAACACATATGAGAAACATCGGTTCAACTTATAATGCTAAAACTAGCCCAATTAAATCAGGCAGAGAAATCACAATTAAAAAAAATTCATACATATAACCTCAGGTCAGACAAAACCTCCCATTTAGGGACTGGTCACTTAATGTCAATATAAACCAGTTTGACGTCGCTAGGCCTGTGCGGTCTGTTGCTCCCTTCACAGAGGCAGACCCTGACATTTTGCTCAAACTATTCAGTCACCGGAGCTTTGTACTGGACTTGCTGGCAAAGTGCACTTGCTGGACTCGTGCACATACAGACACTACTTACATACAGACACTTACAGGTACTACTTAAGTACTGTTAAGTAACGGATCCCTTAAATACAAAAAAAGCGTTTCCAGGTTACTAAGCATAACGCGCTCACTTTCTGAGGCAAGTTTAAGTGAGGAAATTTGGGCTTAGTAGCAACGAATGTTATTTATAAATTGACTGCCTTGCTCTGATTAAAACTGAACGTTAATTACTTGGCTAATGAGGGAAGTAATTTACAATCTGATGCAACACCTAGGGCGCCTGACAGCTGAGTGGACAGCGCTTCGGATTCGTAGTCCTGAGGTTCCGAGATCGATCCCCGGTGGAGGCGGAGACAAATGGGCAAAAATGTTTCTTTCACAATGATTCCCCTGTTACCTAGCAGTAAATAGGTACCTGGGAGTTAGACAACTGCTACTGGCTGCTTCCTGGGGGGGGGGGGACACTAAGGCCCGAAATCATCTCAAGATAACCTCAAGATACACAACACTGTAGGCCAGGTCAGGAATGCACACACACACACACACACACAGATGAACATAACAGTGCAACATAGCCACATGAGAGACCTTGTTACCACCCAGCTGTCCATCTTAACACATGCCAGCAACACAGCAGGACATATATATATATATATATATATAATATATATATATATATATATATATATATATATATATATATATATATATATATATATATATATATATACTCTCAAGAACAACATTCAATCCGGCGTGCAGTTGCAAGTCATTAGCTTGTTGATACAAGGGTAATATTAAAACACTGAATATAGACCGTCCTCAGTCTTCATGAACTGTAGAATCACATCAAATATTCCAGTTTGATCACGAACCGAGAACTCGTGAACTATTCTCTGGTGTGATGGCTGAGATCAGTGTCCTTTCTTCTGTTAGAAGAATCCTTCCTTTTCTTAGAAGAATCCTTCCTTCTCTTAGAAGAATCCTTCCTTCTCTTAGAAGAATCCTTCCTTCTCTTAGAAGAATCCTTCCTTCTCTTAGAAGAATAATTCCTTCTCTTAGAAGAATCCTTCCTTCTCTTAGAAGAATCCTTCCTTCTCTTAGAAGAATCCTTCCTTCTCTTAGAAGAATCCTTCCTTCTCTTAGAAGAATCCTTCCTTCTCTTTGAAGAATCCTTCCTTCTCTTAGAAGAATCCTTTCTTCTCTTAGAAGAATCCTTCCTTCTCTTAGAAGAATCCTTCCTTCTCTTAGAAGGAAGGACACTCTCTGCCACTCTAGACTGGCTGCTATAACCTGGGCTGCATTCTAAGGACATGACAGCCATCCTATGCAGAGTTGTCGAGGGAGAAAGAACTGGAGACTGGACATCTCCAGTGCCTGCAACATGTCGTCAAACCTTGCAATGTCGATTAAACGTTGTCACAAACGTTGATTAAATGTTGTCACGACGTTGACTGAACGTTGTAACAACGTTTAAAAACGTTGTAGTCGCCTTGCGTTTTCTTGGGTATTTCCTTCTTGGTACAAATGATGGCATGTTGAGAGTAGGCTATAAACGGCGGTGCACACACACACACACACACACACACACACACACACACACACACACACACACACACACACACACACACACACACACACACACACACACACACACACACACACACACCACACATGGGACGCGAACAAGGGGACACAGGTGGAAGCTGAGTACCCAAATGAGCCACAGAGACGTTAGAAAGAACTTTTCAGTGTCTCTCTCATACACTCAAATGTAGATATCTAGACCACAGGCTCAGGAATCTGTAGTGGTAGCGCACTCGCCTTACACCTCGCGAGTGATTTCGGCCGGGTTCAAACAGGGAGGGCCAAGTGGGCAACGATTATAAACGCTTCGCTTCTGTTCACCCAGCAGGAATTGGGGATCTGATTGTAAACCGATTGGCGGGCCGCGTTAAAGGGGAAAAACTAGTTTGGCAAGGCATATGATGAGCTGAGGGGAAGAGAAAGCTCTGAACAACACAAGCACGTCACCTCTGATCAGCAACAGGTCATTTCTGAATAGTACCAGGTCATCCCGGAGGTGAATAATGAGGTCAGGCACACAAAACGACTCCCCCCATCCCCATCCCCCTCTTCCCCACCTCTCTATACCTCCCCTTCCATCCATCCACCCACCTCTATTCCCCACCCCTAATCCCTTCTCCGGGATTTAAGAGCCTGGCTAAACTCCTTTCCCGCCACGAAACGGGTCAAAGGAACCGGAATGGGGGTGAAAGGTGTACCGAATGGTCCTGGGGGAGATCCTCTTCCTTTGGTTTGGCGTCGTGGTCCTCGCCTTTCGTGCCTCTGGTAAGGGGTTCTGTGACGTCTGTGGTTTGTGACAAACAGTCAGTGGTTTGTGACGAACAGTCTGTGGTTTGTGACGAACAGTCTGTGGTTTGTGACGAACAGTCTGTGGTTTGTGACGAACAGTCTGTGGTTTGTGACAAACAGTCAGTGGTTTGTGACGAACATTCTGTGGTTTGTGACGAACAGTCTGTGGTTTGTGACGAACACTCTGTGGTTTGTGACGAACAGTCTGTGGTTTGTGACGAACAGTCTGTGGTTTGTGACGAACAGTCTGTGGTTTGTGACGAACAGTCTGTGGTTTGTGACGAACAGTCTGTGGTTTGTGACAAACAGTCAGTGGTTTGTGACGAACATTCTGTGGTTTGTGACGAACAGTCTGTGGTTTGTGACGAACACTCTGTGGTTTGTGACGAACAGTCTGTGGTTTGTGACGAACAGTCTGTGGTTTGTGACGAACAGTCTGTGGTTTGTGACGAACAGTCTGTGGTTTGTGACGAACAGTCTGTGGTTTGTGACGAACAGTCTGTGGTTTGTGACGAACAGTCTGTGGTTTGTGACGAACAGTCTGTGGTTTGTGACGAACAGTCTGTGGTTTGTGACGAACAGTCTGTGGTTTGTGACGAACAGTCTGTGGTTTGTGACGAACAGTCTGTGGTTTGTGACGAACAGTCTGTGGTTTGTGACGAACAGTCTGTGGTTTGCTGTTCCTTTGTTCTGATTGATGATGTGAAGTGTGTATTTTATGGGGCCTCCTTATTGCTGAGAAAACTTCTGCTTAAAATTCTGCACATTGCTGAGAAAAGTACTGCTTAAGGGTAGAAATGGCTGCTTATGAGCAGCAACTGTTTGGTTTTAATGGTGATATTTTGTCCTGTTGTCAGTTACAGGAACGTGATCAGGTGTCGACGCCAAGCACTGGAGCCTTGCAGTGGTTGGGTCCAAGCACTGGAGCCTTGCAGTGGTTGGGTCCAAGCACTGGAGCCTTGCAGTGGGTGGGTCCAAGCACTGGAGCCTTGCAGTGGGTGGGTCCAAGCACTGGAGCCTTGCAGTGGGTGGGTCCAAGCACTGGAGCCTTGCAGTGGTTGGGTCCAAGCACTGGAGCCTTGCAGTGCGGTGGGTCCAAGCACTGGAGCCTTGCAGTGGTTGGGTCCAAGCACTGGAGCCTTGCAGTGCGGTGGGTCCAAGCACTGGAGCCTTGCAGTGGTTGGGTCCAAGCACTGGAGCCTTGCAGTGGTTGGGTCCAAGCACTGGAGCCTTGCAGTGGGTGGGTCCAAGCACTGGAGCCTTGCAGTGGGTGGGTCCAAGCACTGGAGCCTTGCAGTGGTTGGGCCCAAGCACTGGAGCCTTGAGAGGCAATTCACAATTTTCTAGACACCTATTAGCGTTTTTCCGAGTCGGAACGAGCAATTGTATCGAAATAGCAGAGCTTTTTCACTGTTACGTTTCTAACGAGTCTGAAATTTTCTTGTTAGATAAAACAAACACAAAAATGATTCATTGATGTTACAATTGCAGTGGAATCTACAGTTCGTAATACATGATTCTATCTTGAGGTTATCTTGAGATGATTTCGGGGCTTTTTAGTGCCCCCGCGGCCCGGTCCTCGACCAGGCCTCCACCCCCCAGGAAGCAGCCCGTGACAGCTGACTAACACCCTGGTACCTATTTTACTGCTAGGTAACAGGGGGCATAGGGTGAAAGAAATTCTGCTCATTGTTTCTCGCCGGCGCCTGGGATCGAACCCAGAACCACAGGATCACAAGTCCAGCGTGCTGTCCGCTCGGCCGACCGGCTCCCTTCTTCTCTCTCCCACCGTCCGCCTGTTTAGATTTTTGCTTATTATTATATCATATTTATTAAATTTGTTTAGATAGTTTAGATATTCTATTTAGATAGTACTCTTGTAACTATGTGCGCCATAGTACAAACGCTGAGGGACTAAACAATTAAATAGTAGAACTTTGTACTATTTACTTTATAGAGAGCAAATTTCTTTTTTTAGCTACAAATCAAACTTAAATATTCCTGGGCCTAGTATAGCACACATATGTACTATATTAGGCCTTAGATAGCGTGTATTAGACCTAGGAAGGTTAGGTTAGGGTTTGTTTGTCTTTGCAACGAAAGTGGAAAATCGTTTTCCGGTTTGTCCAACTTCAATAGTACCGATTTCCACTTTCTAATTGCGTTTGTACGTCGGTATATGTACTATAGTCCTCAGTCTTCATATAAGAATGTACTTTTCCTCATATATGTGTGTACTTTTTTTCCTAAATAAACATTTAAGGACTACCAAAACAGGAGGATGGACACACACAAACACACACACACACACACACACACACACACACACACACACACACACACACACACACACACACACACACACACACACACGGGGTCTAGGGGTCTAGTAGCTGAGCGGACAGCACGCTGGACACGTGATCCTGTGGTCCCAGGTTTGATCCCAGGCGCCGGCGAGAAACAATGGGCAAAATTTCTTTCATCCTATGCCCCTGTTACCTAGCAGTCAATAGGTACCTGGGTGTTAGTCAGCTGTCACGGGCTGCTTCCTGGGGGGGGGGAAGGGGTGGAGAGTGGTGTGGGAAAAAAATAGTAGTAGTAGAAACAGTTGAGAGGCGGGACCAAAGAGCAGAGCTCAACTCCCGCAAGTACAACTAGGTGAATACACACACACACACACACACACACACACACACACACACACACACACACACACACACACACACACACACACACACACACACACACAGTCTTAGAGTATGCCGCCTCATCATGGCGTCCCCATCTGAAGAAGCATATAATGAAACTGGAAAAGGTTCAGAGGTTTGCAACGAGACTCGTCCCAGAGCTACGAGGGATGGGGTATAAGGAGCGCCTGAGGGAACTGTGCCTTACGACACTAGAAAGAAGAAGGGAGAGGGGGGACATGATAGGAACGTATAAAATACTCAGAGGGATTGACAGAGTGGACATAGACGAAATGTTCACACGGAATAGTAACAGAACGAGGGGACATGGATGGAAGCTTGAAACTCAGATGAGTCACAGAGATGTTAGGAAGTTTTCTTTTAGCGTGAGAGTAGTGGGAAAATGGAATGCACTTCAGGAACAGGTTGTGGAAGCAAATACTATTCATAATTTTAAAACCAGGTATGATAGGGAAATGGGACAGGAGTCTTTGCTGTAAACAACCGATGCTCGAAAGGCGGGATCCAAGAGTCAATGCTCGATCCTGCAGACACAACTAGGTGAGTACAACTAGGTGAGTACACTAAGGATGGATTATTTAACACGGGTGGCATACGCACTAGGGGACACAGGTGGAAGCTGAGTACCCAAATGAGCCACAGAGACGTTAGAAAGAACTTTTTCAGCGTCAGAGTAGTTAGAAGATGGAATGCATTAGGCAGTGATGTGGTGGAGGCTGACTCCATACACAGTTTCAAATGTAGATATGATAGAGCCCAGTAGGCTCAGGAATCTGTACACCAGTTGATTGACAGTTGAGAGGCGGGACCAAAGAGCCAGAGCTCAACCCCCCGCAAGCACAATTAAGTGAGTAATAATAATAATAATAATAATAATAATTTGTATTTAGGTAAGGTACATAAAGAGATTTTACAAAGTTTGTTGGCTTTATAGATAGAGCTAGTACATACAATGCCTAAAGCCACTATTACGCAAAGCGTTTCGGGCAGAAACGCAAAGCGTTTCTGCCCGAAACAGCTGCCCGAGTACTAACAGCTGGCCCTTCACTTATTAGTGGTTTACATCTGGCCTTGAAAAATGTGCTTAGCTTCAACATTGTATTAATTCCTGTTAGTTATAACAACAAACTAATATTACACGTAACAAGGGATTAGCCAAGACTGAAGGAAGAATAAGATGAGTTAGCTAAGTTATGCCAAAATATTACCCAAATAATTGGTCGTTTTCTATATCAACATT